AAATAATATTAATTATTGCATTCAACAATGTAAGAGTATCATAACCTTTGTCCTCAAAAATACTTGTGCATTCAAAAATACTGACGTATTAACCCTTTTTCTAGGTGAGGCGCTGCACCAAGATTTTAAATATTCACTAACTTTCCTTTTTAATCCATTGAAAAAGGCCACGTTAAAAAACTGTAGTATTTAAGGGTTTAATATACATGTGCACGACAGCTGTTTATTTATATAGAGATTATATCTGTGTACAATGTACATTATACTTACGAACAACCGTTTATATACGACCATACATATATTTACAGCAGAATGACTTATAGGTAGACTTAATGATAAATAAGTCTCGAAGCGGAAACTCGTGTAAGGGTGTAATAGTACCCGGATAGGAGGACGTTTTCGGAAAAACGTGAATGAGAGTTTGAATTGAAATTATATAACTTTTCATGCATCCATATTATGTATATATGTTTATGTGCTTGTAAGTGTGCATAAAATCTGATAATAACTCGGTGCATTAAATCATGGCTGCTGATACCAAGGATAACACTCCAAGTTTATTCCAATCCAAAACTGTGTGTGGTACACCCAATAATGAGGAATTGTAAGATGTTTACCCTAATAAGGTGCTAGCAGATCTAGACAATGCATCTTCTGATGAATATGTTGCGGCAATTATGTCGCCGTGTCCTATTAATAAGGTATGTACACCTAGGGGAAAAAAAAAAGGTCTTAATCTACCAAAAGTGATAGTCTGTGACATTTTCATAAAGAAAGCCATAATTATTGACATAACAAAATGCTCTCCTACATTCCACAACAAATTGAAAAATGAAGCGTCTACAGTAGAATGGACAAACTTGAAAATTCACTTGAAAACAAAATAGTGCATAAAATGACAGGGGTAATTGACAAACGTATGAATACTGAAGCAAAGAATATACGTTAAGAATGTGATAATAAAAAGCAGAATCTAAAGAATGGCATTAAGCAGGATAACTTGGAAATAGAAGCCAGATTGAACTCAATTACTTATGCCACAACAACTTTAAATCCAACATCAAGTCAGAACAAAAGAAGATAGTGTCACTTTGATATAAAGAGTATACCCTTTCATGAAGGTGAAAATCTGAATGCTAAGCTAAACTTGTTTTTAAGTGACCTTATGGGAATCTAATCAATAACTATTCCTCATGTCTCGCGTATTAGATGTCTGCAAACGCTCGTTTAAAAGACATTTATTTGTAATAAAACTATTACCAAGATGCACAGTGTGTTGTTTCCCCAAGTTTTTTTTTATTCTGTATAATGTACAATTTAAATATTTGAATTTGAACATGAGGATAGAATGCTCGAGTAGATATCTAGTCGAAAGCATGTACACCGTTTGGATACCGGCTTGACAAGCGCTCCACGCAGAGCCGGGATCAGGTCTCGTATTGGTTGGACAGAACGCAAAATTTACTTTCGGTTTTAATTAAATGTTGATTTTTTATATTACAATGAGATGTATAAATGTTTATTCTGATTGCATCTAGGAGATAATTCTATTTTCTATTGATTTACACCGGAAATGTCACGGTAAGGTTCATTTAATAATGATTTATAAAGGTTTTATTATACAAGGGTTATCGTGTTTACATTTTGGAGTCTGCAATCTTTACTTTATTGAGACTTGATGGTATACGGTATTTTTTCATATATGTAAAAATTGTTTGAAAACCATTTTTATCGTTGTAATAGATGTCCCATTTGTGTTTAAATATTAAAATAGTTTTGGTAGAGTGTTTATAGGGGCGTATCACGTTGGGGGGGGGCAGGATCTGACCCACAAGCGTCTGTGCTGTGTACATACTGGCAAATGGCGCCGGATTGTTAACGGGCGTAATCGAGTATAAATAGGTAGTATGAGAGGCTTCGGTTCTTTAATTAGTGTAGCGATAAATATGACCGTACATTTTAATAGACTAGAATATTTCTCTTAAGTGCTCATTTATTTTAAAAGTGTATTTTAAATGCGTAATTTTAATATTCTAAACACATTTTACAGGTTCTTGATTGTTGTCTGTTGTATTTTTTTTGTTCAAATTATGGCTATAGATTTAATTTTTTAATTCGAACTAAATCAATTTAGTTGATCATAATAAATTAGATAGTTAAAGTATATGTATTTTATTTTTGTTTCTAGGTTTAAAAGTTAAAAGAATCCAAAATCAAAATACCAAAATGAACCCTTATTATATGCACTGTATTGTGAGTAATAAGCGTGTGTGAAAAAGAAAGAAGACCAATAGTTGGAAATAAGGATCTAAAACGATACCTTGAAAAATCATTTTTCTTAACAGTCAGTGAAAATTCAGTAGTGTGCAAATAAATGTAGACAAAAAATATTATTTGAAATGCGAAAGCAAAAATGACACAAAACAATCAAATATAACGTTGAATTTAAAGTCGAACAAAACAGCACTATCTGCTAAAAGAAAATTAATTCAAACCGATGAAGAAAAATTTGCACTACCAATATCTACAACAGGGCAGTCCCATTCTCGTTGCTTTATTTGCGGCAAACCGGGTCTAAAATTGGTGAGAATTAAAAAGGAAGCAAGACACGATATTTTCATTTAGCTAAACATTATTCTGGCAAAAGGGGCTAGATGCTGTCCAAAACATTTAATAGAAAAATCATTTTGTAAGGAAGCGTTTATATTACTGAAAAACAATAAAAATATACACAATGCCTCCCATTTTACATGCGAGCAACTGCATACCTTTATAGAAAATATTAGAAAAGCTGCCAATGATAATAGGAATAAACGGGTTGATTTTGACGATAACGGTATGAATGATAACGACTATGAAAGTCTCACTGGGTTGAATAGGGCACAATTTGACGATCTTCTTACTTATATAAAAAGCAGTAAAAAATCACAAAACAGAAGTGTTCGTGGTTCTTTAGGAGTATTTCTAACAAAGCTTAGAACAGGTCTTTCTAATCGTATTCTTGGCACCATTTTCAACATGACAAAGTCTCAAGTTAGACACTCATTTGCTTCAATAAGAAAACAATTGTCGATAGAATTTGTTTCTGAAAATATTGGTTTCAATCACGTCAATCGAGAAGATGTCGTCCAGAAACATACACGGCCTCTAGCGGTATCAATATTTGGCCAAAATGAATGCAGTCCTCCTGCTATCCTTGTTCTTGATGGCACATACCTATATATCCATAAAAGCTCCAATTTTAAATTTCAAAGACGTACATACAGTGTTCATAAAGGGAGGTCACTAGTCAAACCTACAACCACAGGATATATAGTATCTGTTCTTGGCCCTTATTAAGCTGATGGAAAGAATTCTGACGCAAAAATATTAAATCATATGATGAAATGTAATATTGAAGAGGTAAAAAATTGGATCAAAAAAGGTGATATTTTCGTTGTTGATCGTGGATTCCGCGATTGGTTTAACATCCTTAAAGAACTATGTATTGACGCAAAAATGCCATCTTTCTTACCGAAGGGTAAAAAACAGACAGCTTTCTGCAGAAGATGCAAATAACTCTAGGCTTGTCACTAAAATTCGCTGGATAGTTTAGTCAGTGAATGCCAGGTTAAAACAATGGCGATTCTTTGACAAAACTCTTCCAAACAGCCATTTGTCACAATAGGGACTACGATGGGATACCAGGCCGACCACAATTGCTATCTAAAACAACCAACAACTCAGAACAGAAAAATATATACAAATTTATTTACAGAAATGAATATTTATAAATGAAAAATGATTGTATATGATAAACTACTATGATAAGTCACTGCACAAACAAACACTATCAACGTATCTCAGTCTATTTCTCCCGTAAAGTTTCTGTCATGATGTATCAATAAAGTGGTGGCGTTGTTAAACAAAATTCGTCACAATGGCGGGCGTCTTGTATGAAATCTTATCAAGCGTAACTGTACTTCCTACAGTGTTGGCACAGTTGATAGGATCCTAAACAAGGGCATGCGTCACCCTTTAGCCATGGACATACGTGTGGAGGGCCCGTGTCATCTTCGGGTGTCCTCAAATAAGAAGCTTGTACAAGCTGTAATTTTATGACAAAAATAATTTGTCTGTCACCGTCATAGTGACCTGTATAACGTCCAGTGCATTGCAATATGTCACTTAAAATTTAGTCAATATATAGCAAACTACTGGGTACTGAGCGGGAAAACGGATCGTGCAAAACATGAAAAATCGATTTGCACGAAATAAAGCTGGGACGGCGGGAAAAAATAGTTATGTAAAATAAAGGCCCGTCCTTCAAATACAGACATAATACATATATCTGGTTCATAAAACAAAAATGTAACTTTCTTATTACTGAAAGGATTTTTGTGAAATAAACGGCAAAATGTTTAAATTGAGACATGGAAATTTATGCAAACCATAAAAATACTCTAAATAATAATTTCACCCGAAAACTCTAAATTGAACAAAAGATGATGCAATCTCACAACAATGAATATAGAGTAAAAATGAGGTTCGGCGTGAAAATATAATGCAATATTTTACAAACGTACTTTCACTTTGTGACATTTACGCCCCCCTTTAAATAAGAAAATTGATAAATTTTCTTTAAATACAACAAAGTGAAAACGACAAATTGCAAAAATGTAAGTAGAAATACTGTACACCATATTTATAACCACCATAAATACTACACTACACTCTACATTATACCCTGCTTAAATAATCTGCACCTATGTTCTCTCTACCTGGGATTGCTCTAATCCTCATCCTGTATGGCTGCAAAAGCAAAGACCATCTCATTATTCTAGAGTTACTTAACTTTGCCTTGTTAAGATACAAAAGCGGCTGGTGATCTGTCTCTAGAATAAATTCCTTACCAAACAAGTATCTGTGAAATTTAGAAATTGCCCAAACAATACCAAGGCACTCCTTCTCTATTACAGAATACTTCTGTTCTCTTGGTAACATCTTTCTACTGGCATAAGCTACTGGAAATTTCTCCTCACCTTTTCTTGAAGTAATACAGATCCTAATCCACAATCAGAAGCATCAACTCTGAGAATAAACATCTTGTCTAAATCTGGTAATTTCAAAATGGGCGGACCGGTCAAACTAGCCTTAAGAGTCTGAAAAGCCTTTTCCTGACTTTCACCCCATTCAATACGATTTGGTTGAAACTTTTTTGTCAAATCGGTCAACGGAACAGCAATGGCGGCAAAGTTAGGGATGAACTTCCGGTACCAAGACACAACCCCTAAAAATTGCCGGACTCCTCGCTTAGTCGTGGGTCTCTCGGTCTCCTGAATTGCCTTGACCTTACTGAGAACAGGCTCAATGGACTTACTACCTCCTATCATATGACCTAAACATTCCAATTTTTCAAAAACATATGAAACATTTGACGGTCTAGCAGTAAGCCTAGACTCTCTTAATTGGGTAAATAACTCATACAATGCATTGATATGCTCTGGCAATGTGACTGTATAGATCAAAATATCATCTATAAAACTATCTGAGTGATCTAGATCTTTCAAAACCTTTCTCATCAGTCTACAGAATGTTGCAGGGGCATTGACTAAACCAAAGGGCATTTTCCGGAATTGAAAAAGTCCCGACGGGGTTTCAAATGCGGTCAAAGGTTTTGCATTGTCAGACAAAGGAACTTGCCAGTATCCTTTACTAAGGTCAATTTTCGAAAAATACCTGTATTTTGATAATTTCGAAAATATCTGTTCCATATTGGGCATCGGTTCCGCATCAAATACAGTGCATTTATTGATCTGTCTAAAATCAATACAGAACCTAATCGTGTTATCCTTTTTCCTGATAAGGACAATTGGACTAGAAAACGGAGCATTAGAAGGTTCGATAACTCCCAACTCTAGCATTTTATCAACTTCTTCCTTTACTATCTGCTGTGAGTGAAAAGGAATAGGATAACCCTTAGTCCTTACCGGTTCTGACGTAGTCAACTTAATGTCATGCTGAACTAATGACGTATTTCCGGGTATATCTGTTAAAACATCTGAAAATTTCTTTAACAAGGTTGCAATTTGAGTCTTACAATCTGTTTGTAAGTCAGGATTGACCTGAACATCTTTATATGTCTCTGAACCTTTCTTCAATGGACATAACAATATGTCACTATCATCTTGGTAACTTGTTTCTAAACTATCATCTTCCTCTAATCTATCATACCCATTTTCCGCTTCTACAACAGCTGCACTTACCTTTGCCAATGCACCTCGTTCTGGTTCGAAATTTCTTTCAACATACTCCTTTAGCATATTGGCATGGAAAGTTTTGATCTTATTGTTACCTATGTCTATCCGATAATCTAATTTGTTCACGACCTCGGAAACTACAAATGGACCTTTCCATTGTAACAACAACTTATTGCGTTTTGTAGGTATAAGAACCAGTACTTTACTTCCCTTCTTAAAAGTTCTATCCCTAGCTTTCCTGTTGTAATACTTTCTATATCTAATACTGCTCTTCTCTAACTCCTGCTGTGCTATCTTACATGTACTTTCTAGTCTTTCTTGCAAATCAACTACATACTGATAAGTTGTCTTAACTTCGTCATTCTCTGTTTTTCCTGACCATAACTCTCTCAAAATGGTAATTGGACCTCTTATACTACGTCCATATAACAATTCAAATGGCGAGAATCCTAAACTCTCTTGTGGAACTTCCCGATACGCAAACAACATAGCATTCAAATACTTATCCCAATCTGTAGGTCTTTCACTACACATCCGTTTCAACATCTGCTTTAAACTACCATTAAATTTCTCCACTAAACCATTACACATCGGATGATACGGTGTAGTTGTTAACTGTCTAAGAGACAGCAACCTACTAACCTCATTCATAATTTGTGAAGTAAATTGTGATCCACAATCTGTAAGCATTTCCTCTGGAACACCTAATCTACTATACATGTCAACTAATGCTTCGGCTACTCTTTCAGTCTCTATACTAGGCAATGCAATTGCTTCAGGATATCTGGTAGCATAGTCTACCATGGTCAAAATATATCGGTTCTTCCTATCAGTCATAGGTTCGATCGGACCAACAATGTCAACGGCAACTCTCTTAAAAGGAGTATCAATCAAAGGCATCTTACCTAAAGTTACCTTACTTATTCTACCTTTAGAAATAGTACGTTGACAAATATCACAAGACTGACAATATCGTCTAACCTCTACAAGAACACCTGGCCAATAAAACTCCCCCAAGACTCTATCACTTGTCTTCCTAATACCAAGATGTCCTGCCAAAAGCGAGTCATGCGCTACTTTTAACACAGTCTCCCTAAGATCCTTAGGAACTACTAACTGCCTACTTACGTCACCATTTCCTGCCGTAAACTCTCTAAACAACATCTTATTCCTGACCTGAAACTTCACTTGCCCTTTACCTCTACAGTTTCTAACAGTACCTTCCTCTGCTTTCTTTCTACATCCATCTAATGACCTATCTGCCTGCTGCTTCTCTACAAACTCTACATTAGTGATGTCTAAAATCTGTGAAGGAACTTTAAGTCTTCTATGAGCTTTAACTTTACTCTGCGATCTTGTTTCTACTGCTGAAGCTAACTTACCAAATTTGGTTCTACAGCACCCTCTATGTTACCGATAATTACATCATTTGTAGGATTATCTACACATAGTGCTTCTACAGTACCCCTGTAATACGGACAATCAAGATCAATTAACGCCATTTCTAATCTGTGCTCACTACCATCAATGTACTTACATCGTCTGGACTTCCCTAACAATTGATTTGCATTTACCAAATTCCTTCGTACTATGACACATGTACACCCAGTATCTCTCATTGCAACTATAGCTTTACCATTACATATACCTCTAGTTGTCGGACATGAATTTATAGTAACTGTACCTACGTCTTCAAAATCCCCAAGTTCTATCAAACTACTACCACTATCTGATCTCGGCATCGAAATTTTCGAATCTGCATCTCTATTTCTTCCTCTACCTCTACTCCTACCTCTATAACCTCCTCGCCTTCTATTACCCTGATAACTATTATCATTCTTACTTGGATTCATTGAATTCGGTTCTATGTCTTCCGCTGCGTTAGCTTTATTTGTAGCCTTATTTCTACAGAAAAATGCTGTATGCCCTAAACGACCACAATATGTGCATTTATAACCTTCATACTGCTGAGATGCTCTACCTCTATTTACCAGCCTATCGTTACCTCTTTGCATACGATAACTACTACCTTGATTTCTATCTACAGGTCTACTCGGCAGTGCATAAGGCTTAGCTCTTTCTTTAATTCCATGATTCACTACATACTTCGGACCTCCTCTAGTCTTGGCAAACAAATCTGCATCTTCCGCTACTTCACGGGCTGAAAACAACTTCTTACTACTAAGGTTCTGATATAGTTCTCTATTGCAGATATCTAAAAATTGATCCCTTACTATGAAGTCTAACAACTTTTCATAAGTCTTCTCCACCTTACTCAATCTTAGCCAACCATCTAAGTATCTAGAAATTCTAGCTAGGAACATAACAAAAAAGTCTCATTTTCACGGGGCCTTTCAGTCCTAAACTTCTTCTTATACCCATCATCAGTCAACTCAAACTGCCTTAACAAAGCATCTTTCAGCTTATTCATAATCCGTCCTATCTTCTAATGGAAGCCTATCAAATACCTCCCTAGCAGTACCTTTTAACAGAAACGGTAAGTTTAGTGACCACATTTCATGTTCCCAATTCTGAGCAGACGCATAAGTTTCATAAACATTCAAATACGCATCCATAGAATCAATCTTTTCGTCAAATGGAGTCATCTTAACCTTAACCTTACCTACACTCTTCTTACCTAACATATCTAACTCTATCTTCATCTTATATTCTGTATCTAACTTCCTAGCTTCTGCTTCCTCCTTCTCTCTTTCTAACTGACGAGCATAATCTAACTTCTCCTTTGCAACACTAGCCTCATTACTTAACTTCTCTCTTTCCATTCCTATCTCTATTTCTAACTTCTCCTTAGAAATCTGGACTTCATAATCTAACTTCTCTTTTGCTAACCTAGCTTCTAATTCTAACCTATCCTTCTCAGCTTCTAAACGTTCCTTCTCAGCTTCTAACTTCTCTTTTGCTAACCTAGCTTCTAATTCTAACCTATCCTTCTCAGCTTCTAACCTACTATGTCTTTCTTCACGCTCCCTGGCTTGCTCCTCTTTAACAAAGTTTCTCAAAGCCTCATCTGTATACCCTAACTCCTGACCTACCTTCATCAACTCATTTACACTAGTCATCTTGAACTTATTAAGTATATTTCCTACACTGTAACACTACTACAACAACAACTTAGGATACAAGTAAAATCTTACCGTGAGGTAGAACAATGATATCAAAGTATCATTAAAGGGTAACACTACAACCCTTAAATACAAAACACTATATTCACTAAGTACAATCACGGTGCACTATAACACTACACTTCAGTGTAACACCATATAATTAAACGCATTTATCACTCTAGCGCTATAAACAAAATGTACCTTCACTGTACACAGTACTAAAATAAACAATGTATCATATATTCTAAACACTATACCTCACCACTACAAACACTAAGTTTCAAACTCATCTAAGTATCTCACTAAGGTTGTATAATAATAATCTTAAGTGTACAGTAGACAGTAGGCAATAATTAAAACTGTTCAAAATACTTTAAACTTCAAAGTCCAAACTACGACCCAAAACTCAATGTCGCGTAGCACTTACCCCACAGTGCAAAAATATAAAGGCATATGGCCAGTTTCAATATACTACAGACACAAAGTAAACACAAAGTAAAATTGTAAATGACACAATAAATTAAATGTTCACCTAGATAACAGACACAGTTTCTTTATCTAGAAAAAGTACACAAGGCGGGTAGTACCTTACATTGCAGAGTGTATGTGTGTATATATGTACTTCCGGTGTTTTACCGAAAGGTCACTTTCAGATTACAAAACTGGTGGTCTCATCATAAAGTGACACCTAAAAGGAGGAAAATGGAACGAACTCACCCTAAACGTCCAAACGTCCACTGTCGGGTCTGTGTGGCTGTTATAACCTCTCAGCTGGATAGCTGTCACGCACACAAGTCCGTTTCATTTGTCACGGTATCAATCTGAAAATGTTAAGAAATTATAATCACACGAAATATAAAAAAAAAAAAATAATTAAAAGTGATACAAAATTTAACTACCTTTAAGTAAACTAAATTTAACTTTTAATTGTAAATAAAACTTTTTACTTAAAATAAAAACCAAAGTTTCTAGTGTTAGCTATATAACCTAGCTGCAGTAAAATGAGTGTGGTTTGTTTCAGATAACAACTATAGTCAACCGGTATCCAATCACGTCGAGGTCACCAAATGTCACAATAGGGACTACGATGGGATACCAGGCCGACCACAATTGCTATCTAAAACAACCAACAACTCAGAACAGAAAAATATATACAAATTTATTTACAGAAATGAATATTTATAAATGAAAAATGATTGTATATGATAAACTACTATGATAAGTCACTGCACAAACAAACACTATCAACGTATCTCAGTCTATTTCTCCCGTAAAGTTTCTGTCATGATGTATCAATAAAGTGGTGGCGTTGTTAAACAAAATTCGTCACAATGGCGGGCGTCTTGTATAAAATCTTATCAAGCGTAACTGTACTTCCTACAGTGTTGGCACAGTTGATAGGATCCTGAACAAGGGCATGCGTCACCCTTTAGCCATGGACATACGTGTGGAGGGCCCGTGTCATCTTCGGGTGTCCTCAAATAAGAAGCTTGTACAAGCTGTAATTTTATGACAAAAATAATTTGTCTGTCACCGTCATAGTGACCTGTATAACGTCCAGTGCATTGCAATATGTCACTTAAAATTTAGTCAATATATAGCAAAACTACTGGGTACTGAGCGGGAAAACGGATCGTGCAAAACATGAAAAATCGATTTGCACGAAATAAAGCTGGGACGGCGGGAAAAATAGTTATGTAAAATAAAGGCCCGTCCTTCAAATACAGACATAATACATATATCTGGTTCATAAAACAAAAATGTAACTTTCTTATTACTGAAAGGATTTTTGTGAAATAAACGGCAAAATGTTTAAATTGAGACATGGAAATTTATGCAAACCATAAAAATACTCTAAATAATAATTTCACCCGAAAACTCTAAATTGAACAAAAGATGATGCAATCTCACAACAATGAATATAGAGTAAAAATGAGGTTCGGCGTGAAAATATAATGCAATATTTTACAAACGTACTTTCACTTTGTGACACCATTTGCCTAACATTGAACAATATATCAAAATTATATGTGCAATTTGTAATAAATATAAACCACCTTTATCAAATGCTTCTGAGCGTCTGGCCGATTTTGAGCTCGGTACAAAAATGTTCGAATTGGCTCAAAAGAATAATGAGCTACAATATGAGGTAGAAAAAATCGTGTCTAAAGAAAGTGTAAAAACAAAATGGAAACTTGTTGATTCAAACAGTTTAAAGGACTTTCCTAGTTTGACGGAAGAAGACCTCCGAGAAATTACATTAGGGGTATATACACTGAAAATGGCCAAGAGTTACACGGCAGAACATTTGGAAGATGACGCATACACTATTCATATTTCTGTTGATATTCCAGGTATATTACAAGCCAAACTCCAGAGTCGACACACCTCCTCTGTTAAGTACAAATGCTTGAGTAAGTATTCGGCTCAAAAGGTGACATCGTGGTACTGCAGATGCAAAACTGGAACACGTGTAGTTGGGTCGTGTTCACATGTTGCTAGTGTAATTTGGTATCTTGCTATCGGTCGATTTTATGAAAATCAATGGCCTAAAAATTAGAACAAATATGTGAAAGACGCATATAATAAGATAGATGAGGAATAAAGCACCCTTCTTTTGATTTAATGTGCAGTTATTAATTAACAGTGAAAACTTAAAATGCAAGCTCTTTTATTTCTGACCGTCATCTACTGACGCCTGCAATTCATTTATAGTTGATAATATACATTAATTTAGAATGTGTGAAATGAACATTATATATATAATATTTGTGCATCGTGTTTTTCATTAGTGGTTATAACGAAATTAACTGACTCATCAACGGTTTACTTACACTCTCATTTATAGACCATTGCCTACACTTTCGTTCCACAGGGACCCAGCACAGTGTTGGGATAGTGTAAAAAAGTAATTCTAAAAAAATATATATACCTTATATATAATATATAGACAAGGGGTTGAACTCGCCAAATCGGCCGATTGTCACTAGTCCAGTACAAGTCCAGTACAAGTCCAGTACAAGTCAAAATTACAAAGTCATTTTTACGTAAATCATATAAAGCTATATAACAAATTGCAGGTAAATGACATCACGCAATAAATCGATAAAACACATTCAAAGAAACGACTTACCGCTAAATATTGATCCAAAACCAATCAATTACAGGTAACATTCGGGTTTTTTTATCACTCTTCCGTGAAAATAAACAGCTGAAGACATGTTCCTGTCCGAGATAAATACTCGGCTCCGGTTGTAAGACGCCTTTTGATTGGACGATTCTGTGTCCCAGCTCAGCTATCTATTTCAATGCTGAATTCGGGTTCCAAGGCACGTGAATTTTAGCGCTAATTTTGAAAGTCCGTAATTATTTTGTGAAAACAACTTATTCTTTCAGCTTTTCAACAGTTCGTTCCTGATTCATAGCCAAAATGCTTGTAAACTGGTAAGATTGTATGTTCCGTGGAAATAATGACATTAAAAGTACTTGACACATTAAATTTACACAAGAATTGTCCATTGTTTACATTGCATTTCAAAGGATTCTATGCAGGATTCTATGCATATACATGTATATATGGCCTATATCAATATAAATAACAGTGTGGAAAGTTGGAAACTCCTTTTTTAGGTATACTATTCAAAGAACCCATTTAGTGGCGTCCCCATGATAAAGTTTATTCATATAAGCTGGTATCTCCATAGCTACTAAAAGGAATGGATTGAAAGTTCATATGCTGTAATTATCTAACATGACTGATACAAGTACCATAACTCTGATTTGCTTTTTTGCATATTTATGCCCCTTTTTCGACTTAAAAATTATTGGGTAAGTTTTTGGGTGTAAGCTGGTATCTCCATAACTACTGAAGGGAGAGGATTGAAACTTCACACACTTATTCTCTGTGATTATGTTACATGATTTTGAAAAGTCCTATAACTGATTTGTGTGTTGGCATAAGCTGGTATCTCCATGACTCCGAAGGGAATGGATTGAAACTTCATATGCTTCTTCCTTGTGATTATCTAAAATGATTGGTACAAGAACCATAACTCTGGTTTGCTTTTTTGCATAATTAAGCAACTTATACAACTTAAAAATGTTTAAGTTTTTGCGTGTAAGCTGGTATTTCAATAACTTCTCAAGGGTTTGTACCTTTTTTGAGACAATTTCATGTATTCATATAGGTAAGCATTATTATATTATGTAAAAATTTGGATAAGTTATAGAGTTTTTTTCAATACAATTTTCAATCACATTCGGGACAGTTCCATTCAGTTCCTTCCTTTGAATATTTTTTCCATTCTTTTGCATTATGCAAACCAGCACATTTTCTGTGAAACCAATAATTACAAGAATCACATAGAATCCATTGATTTCCTTCTGACTTTTGACATTTTTTACAGAGATCACTTGTCAAACTTGATGACCCTGGTTGGGGTTCAGGCTCTGGACTGGGTTGAACAGGTACTGTGGGTTGTACTTCAGTAGTAGACATTGACTCCACTAATTGTATTGTTTCTGTAGAAGTTTCAGTAGCCTTTTTTTCTGCTTTGTATGCTCCGAAGATTTTGACACTTTTATTTGCTTCCTGTGAGCCATTGTTTTCATAATATGAAAAGCTCCTTTGATATCTCGGCAGAACTGGGCAAATAAAACCATAAAGTATTTATTAATAATTTCATTGTATATGCTGCATATCTGGGCAGATGTAAGTACCAAAGAATCGACAAGTTCTGTTAATATCATATGTTCTTGGTTTAAAGAAAATTCTTCTACCGTCTCCTCTTTCAATTTATTAATAACCATATGTGAAAATTGTTCAAATAAACCTTTTTCACTAAGCACATGCTCCAAACAATTGTTAAACATTGATTTACCATATTTTATCAAATTTTCATTTATTAGCTTTGCCAAACACAAATCAGTTAAAGTCAAGAAAAATTTGAACATAC